CTTTCACTCAGACCCCTGGTCGTGTCCTTGTCAGTATGTGGGGCCAGTCATTGCCTGATCAACGGCCCTGACCTAATTCTCCTGGAGCAGATGATCTGTTAGAGAACAGAGACGATGAGGAGAATGGGCATCACACCGGAGGCCGTGGCTCTGCGCCTGCGCTGCAGAGTCCGGGACCGCCAGGTTGTTTCCCGGAGATATTTGCAAAGCACCTTCCCTGGTGTGTGACGCCGAGATTGAGAAGTTGATGCTAGAGGCCGTTGATGCTGAAGACCCTAGAAAGGTCCTGAAGATCTTAATACATTCTATGCAGTATAATCCAAACCAGTGGTTTAGTTTTAAACAGCATACCTGCAGAGCTGGTTAAAATGCAGATTCCCAGGCTTCGCACTCGTTGGTCAGAGGAAAGTCCCAGAAACACTGCATTTTCAGGGGGCATCCCAGGTAATTCTAATGCAGGTGGTCCTCAGACCATCTCTGGAGAAACAGGCTTTTTTGCACAGTCTAGATGCTTAGATGCAATTAAATGCAGGACACTTCCCAAATTCCATCAGGAGAAGTAAAGGTAAATAAAATCAGGATCCTATTCTGGTCATGAAGATTTTTACCTATGTTTTATCCTAAGAGTTTTATAGTTTTACTCTTAAATTTAGATATTTGATACATTTTGAATTATTTTTTGTATTTGGTGTAAAGTAAGGGTATACAATTTCATTATTTTGCATGTGGATATCCAGTTTTCCCAGTACCATTTGTTGGAAAAGACTGTTACTTCCCAATTATGTGGTCTTAGCACTGGTTGAAAATCAGTTGATATATATGTGGAATTTGTTTTTTCTGGGCTTTCTTTTCTATTCCATTGGTCTAAACGTATATCCCTATTCTGGCACCACACTGTTGAGATTACCACTGTGTAGCTTTGTGGTAAGTTTTGAAATTAGGAAGTATGAATCTTCCAACTTGTTCCTTTTCAAAATTTGGCTTGGTTTTGAGGGTCCCTTGAGATTCCATATGAATTTTAGGATGGGTTTTTCTATTTCTGTAAAAAGCATTGTTGGGATTTTGACAGGGAATACATCAAATCTGCTTTGAGTAGTATTGCCACCTTAATATTGTCTTTCAATTCATGAACATGGTATGTCTTTCCATTTACTTAGGTATTCTTTAATTTCTTTCAGCAATGTTTTGTACTTTTTGAAGTACAAATCTTTTGCCTCCTTGGCTAAATTTCTTCTTAGGTATTTTATTATTTTTGATGCTATTGCAGATGGAATTCTTTAATGAATAGAGCAACCAGATTAGTTTTTAAAAAATAGAGGATTTGAGCAACAATATAAACCAGTTAGACCTAACAAAATATACATATAGAACATTTCACCCAACAACAGCAGAACACACATTCTTCTCAAGTGAACATGGAACATTCTCCAGGATAGAGCATATGTTAAACCACAATAAAAGCATTAATAATTTTAAAAAGATTAATATCATACAAAGAATATTTTCTGATCAAAATGGAATGAAACTAGAAATCAATAACAGAAGGAAAATTAGAAAATTCATAACTATGTGGAAATTAAATAACAGTCTTAAACAAAAAAGAACATAAAAGAAATCACAAAGGAAATTAGAAAATAACTTGAATGAAAACAAAAATACACCAAAGCTTATGGGGTGAAGAACTGTTTTTTTAAAATCCCCTAGGGGTTGGGGAGCCATTTCAGCTCTTTGGAGTTAAAACCATGGCTGGACTCTGTACTGGCTCCTCAGCAATCAAAAGCAGTGATAACCAATCAAAACATTAAACCCCAATTTTTAGAGTGCAAGGTCTTTATTGCCTACCACAGCACCAGCAAGCTACACCAGGAGCAAGGCCCATAGTTCCCACTGGCTGCCTGCCAGGAGATGTGCTAGGAGATGGGGGATGGTAGCCATTGCATGAAACAGTGAGATTCACCAAAATTTATCAATCTCTTCCTCAATCTCTCTTCTGGACTCTGCAAGTGTTTGACTAGACCCCAGATTTCCAAAAGGGTTGCTTCACACAGTCCTGTGAGCTCAATAGTTGTTTCTATGGAGGGACTGATTCCTGGACATTCCTACTCATCCCTCTTCCATGACATAACTGTCATTTCCTTTTACAAATCATGGAATGAAGAGTGAAATGACACAGACAGATACAAGGCTAGAATTTAATCTTGTGTTCTTTAAGGGGGAAAGGTCTCCTGAATATAAGGAGTTTAAGCAATATAAGGAGAGAAATTGGTTGGAAGAAGAGGGACAAGAAAAAAATTTAATCTTAAAAACAGAAGAAATGCTGAGCATACTTAACTTACACCTTTCTGTGTGACTTCTTGGACTTCGTGTGTTTACAATTTTTGTACTACAGAGAAATTTAAAATCCATTTGTAAACAATTGCTGTGAATTTTGAAATGGGACTCTTTTCCCAGAAATACATTCATGTAATTAAAAATACCAATCCATTATTTAAAAACTTTTTGGCCTATATTAAAAACTTTTAAAAAACTTTCATAATTATATGTGGAGTGAAATAAAGACTGTTTCACTGGCCATTATTATTATTCATTCCATTTCAGAATTAATACTGAAAATAATTTTTCTTGTACAGAGGAGAGAAATGTTAAAAAAAATTATCTGCTCTGGATGTTAAATAAGCCTTTGTAAGTGTACCCAGATTATATTCCTAAACAACATAAATGGAACCTGAGACTCTGGTTTTACGCAGGCGTTGTTCTCTGCCAAGAAGACAAAGACATGGGAGGATAAACAAAACTGGATTGCTAGCAGGAAGACAGGCGGACTTAGAGTGCTAAGTTTGATCCTTGGTTCCTAGGTCCAGATCAAAAACCGCTGCCTTGAGCGCTGGGACCAATCTGGCTGTTTCCATGGAGACGGCGGGAGCGGCTGGTTGCACAGGATTCCCGGCGCCTCTGTTGCGTCATTTCCCACCGCTGGCCCTTGGCTCCGTCGCCCCAGCCCGCGTTAATTGGGAGGGTGAGTGTCTAGTGGGAGCCTGAATAGTGTGTTCCGGAGTATTGGCAGACAGTACGCTTTGCCCTTTCGGAAAAGCTTTCTATGGAGATGCCCTACTGTCACTTGTGAGGCTGCGGCACCACAACGCTCCGGACAGAGTCGTGGGAGTGTCTGGATGGATAGCTACGTATCCTGGCAACTGCCTGGCCTCCAGGTGAAGTCTCCAGCCCTATCGCCAATGCTGGGGTTTGTTCCAGGCAAGTGTGCACATCAAGGCCTTTCTTTAGCACTTGTCTGCCTTTTCCGTTCTGTTTTTCCTCGTAGGTTTCCCCATTGTGGGAATCTGTGTTGCTCCCTGTTCAAGAGATCGGTTGGAACACACTCAGGATGACTGTTTCTGCCAGAGTGATTTTGGGGACTTATGCTTTTTCTTTAATAACAACGTTATGCACCTACTTTACATCCTTAAAATGGGCTTTATAAAAATCATTTGGCCATTCTTGTTACCTCC